TTCCTGAGCCCCTCTGAAGTTGAATAGGATCTCGCAATGTGGGTTCTGCAACTGTCTGCGTCTTCCTGTTTGTCAGGCTCGTGCTTTGCGAGCTTACGCTCTGGGGATCCCGCACCCTTTCCCCGTGGGAAGCCAACGTGCGATTGGGCAGCCTCTGTATCAATTTCAGAACGATTTTTCCTGCGTTGTTGTTTTCTCCTACAGGGTTTGATCTGCAGTGTTCTAGACTGTTTGTTTTTGACCAAAGTCTCTGTCCTCACGATTACCAGCTATTTTAATCTGCAAATATTACTTGTGTAGCATTTTGTTTTCTTTCACTTTTTCCCAGGTCAGTGCTAAAGATGTTCAAATGGTGTCGTGTGGAGGACAATCCCCAGGGGAAATTCGGAAGCTTTGCCCTATATGGTGCTCTCAGTTATTTTTTCCAATGTAACCATTAGTGAGTGTTAATAGGTTGCATCTGTTCTGCAGCTTTAGCTGATATTTACTGTTTGCCAAAACCGATTGCCTCTTTTGACTCTGCTTGCAGGTTTTAGCCTGGGACAAGAAAAGGTTGATCAGGCTGTAATTTCTTGAGTTAATGCCGTGAAATGAACACAGCGTTGCCTTTTAAGCCTGTCTTTTTGACAGAAAATGCTTCTTCTTTCGTTCTAGGGTGTAATTTATGCAGCACTATAGACTTTCAGTAGTTGTTTTCTAGCGTTTCTGCTAGTCACTATTGTAATGGGATATTTGTTGACACGTTTTTCTTCGTCCAGAACCCGATGAGAGTCTCCCTCTTACACTTAGCTTTTTAAATTACTATTTTCTATTTATTTTTTGGTAAGTATTAGATCCAGATCATTGTTTAAGTTCCATTTTCCTTGCTACGCATCAGGAATAATTCCATCCTGTTGTCCTTAAACCTGCTGGATACAAACTTTTAGCTGTATTTCTTAGACACTGGCTGGTTCTCATCGCTGTCAGAATCTAGGTTTTGCTAATACTGAGTACTATTAATAAGAGCTCTCATCTTTCCTGGGGGTGGGGGGGTGGTCTTTTGAGCAAATCCTCCTTTTGTGTCTGCGTAGCTGTGGCTTACCTTCCGTTGTTTGTTTGTTTGTGGGCAAAGGAGATTCTCTGGTAAAGAGCACATGAAGTGTTTCCATTTGAAAATGCTTCCTCCTGTTCAAATGAGGGAGTATGGCTGCAGAAGACAGGGTGGGCCTCCTACAAACTGTGCAAAGAGAAAGATAGGGAGGCAGAAAGCCGTATCTGACTCCCATCTTGTCCCTTTGTGTCCGTCCTTTTTTCCTGCTCTTGGCCTTTTAGTGAAAGAGACTCATGTGACTCAGGTGTCTATGTTCAGCAAATTGTCCTGCTATTATTTCAAAAGCCCTGTTTATTAATACCATGTGGCATGTGAGCAACAGGAAGCCAGCAGAGTGCAGAGCCTGTAGGCATCATGACATCCTGCCCAGAAGCAGCCCTCCTTACTGCTCTTTTCCAGGATGTATCATCTCGGTGGTCTCTGAAGGTGGTCGTAAAGGAATCGGAGAGTGTGACAACAGAATCAGCATGGCAGGGTGTGCTGGGAAAGCAGAGGTCTCTGAAAACATGCTGGGCACCAAAAATCACCCTTTGATGGTAAAATAAGCCAAGCTTTGGTTTGCCGCAACATGCGGTATTAGCAGGCTCTTGATCTGAACATCCGAAGATGCAGCATGGCTGAAATGCTTTTCATTGACTTTGTTGTCTCTGCCCTGTCATCCGCTCATAGAAAAGCGTCTCAGTGAAAAAAGGAAGCAGTGGGTGACAAATAAGTACATTTGTGACATTTAAGAGAGGCTCCTAATGTGCCCGCAATCCCACCAAGATGAGCTGTCTGCATTGAATATAGACAGCATCAGAAAAATCCTGAGAGTGGATCCTCTCTGGGCCAGGCTGCGTGCTTGGTGGCTTTTGGCCATCCCTCCAGCTCTATATAATTGTGTGGGGCCATCCAGCCCCATCCTTCAGGGCAGGACAGGTGTGTAATTTTGAGAGCTGTTGATGAGATATGTGCCATATAGCAAGGGTGAAATCTGCTTGTCTGGACAGCCAAAGTGAGGTACCTATGCAGAGCTGACTGTCCCAGGGCCCACGTGTAGGATCTAGAGCTGGGAAGAGCTCTGTAAGGTCGTAGTCCTTAGCTCCTGCCTCTTGCACCCAGTTCCTGTATAAACGCTCCGTTGGTCTCTGTCACAGCTCTGACTCCTAGTCACGGTACTGATCATAAAATTGAAAACTAAATGTGTGGATGGCTGTACAAAGTCCAGGCAGCAGCACTGGCATGGCTTACTTTGAGTTTTTGAGGGTCAGTCAGTCCCTGAACCAGCACCCCAAAAGTACAGGGGAGCTCCCTTGCTCTGTTCTGTGCTCTTCAGACAGTCTCCTTCCCTCCTTAGTAATTGGATGTTGCCTGTGTTGCCGGAGGAGGCTCTTTCCAACAGCCGAGCGCTCTGATGTCCTCTGTTATGCCGTAGATGTCAAGCCTTTTCTTTAAAAAGCGGTGAGAGGAAGTAAGTTTTGGAGCTGATGTGCTTGTTCCCTCTTCTCTGAGCTAGTCAAAGCTGGAAGCCCACCTTGTAGGGGGACCTGGCTTCTGGGCCCACCTCAGGCAGGGGTCTCACCCTGATGGGGAAGAACCCCAAATACATGGCTGGAGGAGAGGCAGGGGTAACCCTATCTGAAGAGAGGGTTTGGGGCCCAAGGAAGTCCCAGGCTTTGGTTCCTGCTCCCCAGCCCATCCGTATATTTTACAGCAGCTGAAGGGGATACAGAGGGCTGTAGAAGAAATGGGGACTCCCTGCCCTGCTCAGCGTCCATGTTGCAAAGAGCCACAGGTGTGCTGCACTCACTGCTCTGAGTGAGGCAGTGCTGGTGCTGACCGCTGGGACTGTGTTGAGCAAAAAGCCTGAGTGGGTGGTGCATCCCCTGCGTGTGGCTCAGGTGCTGCATAGGCAGTGTGGGGAGCATGTTGATGGGAGACACTTGCCCAAGCAGCCTGCTGTTTCTCTCAGCTCCTGGCTAGAGGTTGTGCTCGCTCGCTCTCTCCAGCACTGGCTAACAGGGTGGACCAAACTCCACATCGGGTGCAGGAGGTGAGGAGCTGAGCCCAGCCCTTTGTGTGACCCAAAGGGTAATCCCACTTTTGTAATGATCCCACTAGCAGGTGACTTTGCCTGGCTAGTAGGCACCATTTCAGATGCAGAGAGGAGAATTGCATGTTGAGGGGAGGTGTGACCAGGCTTGAACTGCTGGAGCTGGATTCATGTTGCTTTTGTGTCTTTTATGTCAGAAACCTAGAGGTATAAGGAGGAAGGAGGACCCGCATAAGTTTCTGAAATCTCTCACGCTGCAGATCACTGCTTCAGCAAGCAGCTGTGGTGAATAGCTTCAAAACACAGTGGGGTGGCTGGTGGTGCAGGCAAGGCTTTGAGGACACATCAGAGTGTTATCGGTGTGGTTGGAGGTAGAGCTGAGCCCTTGCTCTGGAGAAGCTTGCATGCAGCTTTTGGTAAAGCATGCTGTCCTGAGATTCCAGTTTTTGATGTTCAAGATAAAAACCCGTGTGTTGGGGCTGCTTTGCTTGGCCACGTAGGAGACAAAACTCCAGTTTCCTCTTGCGTTAGGCAATTGCTTTTTTAAACATTGCCCCTATGCAAACACATACGCTGCCGTGCAGGCCTGTGAAATGGAAGAACAGATTGCTGCGGACAGTGTTTTTTGTGTGCCTGTAAATTGGTGGGACGATCTCATTGCCATCACTTAGAAATCTGTGGCCACTGAAGCCTTACATTGAAGGATGGAAACATTCCTGTCCCTGTCCTTCCTCATTATGATTTTGTAATGAGCCTTCATCTGAGTGCTGGTCCTTGAAGCATAGCTTAAACTCTGGATCCTTTCTAGGAAGGCAGAGAAATTCTACTGAGAGATGAGTAGCGCAGTGTCTATTCTAGGCTTTAATCATGAGATATACAGACTGGTTAGGTCCTGCTGCAGTTCTCAGCATTGTCCTAAAAAGAAAAAAAAAAACCAACCTTCCCAGCTCCAATGCTTGTTCAGTTCAGAACAGGACTGTGTGTTTAGTGATACTGTTTGCAGAAGTAAACAGGGAAGCAGAAGCTGCCAGAAGAAGCCTGATTTTGCTCTGACACGATGTGTGTTTCCTGCGTTACAGCCCACTGCTTGTTCAGCTTGGTCAGTGCCATGCAGTGATTTGGTGTGGGTGCAGACAGCCCACTGAGCCGGCTGTGCTTGGGCTGTCAATCCTGGGGCAGCTCTGCTGAGGCTGCAGCACTGACGTTGCCTTCCTCTTTTTCGTTACGTTGGTTTATTATACCACAGCATCTGTGACCAGGGCTCTGCTGTGTCAGGGATTATGCAAAACTGTACACACAATCCCTGCCCTAGGGAGCAGGCAAAGGAAAGGTGGGATGTGCAACAGACTGCCCTAAGTAATTTGTCCTGCGCAAAATGAACTAATTCCCCAGTGCCCACAGTGACACTTGGGATCAGATCTTTATCCTTCCAAGGAGAAGCGTCCTCAGCTCTGCCTCCTCCCTCTTAGGCAGGCGGCCAGAAGCAGGACAGGCTTTGTTGTTCCCCTCTGCTCTTGGTCCTGGGCACCACAGGGCGAGTGGGCTGCGGAGAGCGGGCTGCTGGAAAGGGTCGTTGGCTGGCGTGCGTGCTGGGCTGATTGCTTAGCCCCTGGCTGGCAGCGCAGCACTCTCATGCCCTGCCAGTGCTTTACTACTCAGTGCACCCGTTCCTGAGCCTAGCCTTTGGGCACAGTTTTGTAGGAGAGCAGCCTGCCACTGGGTTTGTCCTGGTGTGTGTGCGTGCTGCCTCAGTGTGGGAGGAGCAGGCAGGCAACCCTGAACTTGCAGCTGAGGGCGGAAGCTCTTTGAGGTTTGCTGCTGATGCTTGAGGCTTTCATAGAGGCACAGCATCTGAGCTGGGTGTTCACTGCTGGAGCGATGAAGGCGTATAAAGGCAGAGGTGGGTCTTCCCCCAGGACTCAGTCTGGGTCAGCCCTGGCAGCTTTTGGCTGCCACATGGAAGATCACGCACAGCACGTCCAGCCCATCCCTCTCCCAGCCATGCAGCAGAACCTGAACTACCTGTACCCTCAGATCTTCTGGGTGGATGGCTGTACCAATCCCAGCACTTCCTGTCCTCCAACACCCCCCGTTGCCCCCTTCCCACCACCAGTACCTGATCGGAGGACAAAGCCAAGGGGCAATAGGGAAGGGAAGAACGTCGGCTTCCTGGTGGTCTCCTTGCTGATCCTGCTGTCTCTCACTGGAGTTGGACTGAGCATGTTTCAGATTTTTCGCCTGGAGAAGGAACTGGCTGAACTCAGAGAGGTAAAGTCTGTTTGGCTTGTCATAGAGGCTCTGGGGGGAAAAAAAAGAAAGGACAAAAACCGAAAAATGCATCTGAGGTGCTCAGGGGGTGCAGAACTCTCCATGGGGCAGACATTTGAATGTCTGCTCTCCTAGTGTGAGTAGGGTTGTTTTACATGGTAGAGGACTGCTCTGTTGGTGGCTATGATATGCCTGGATGTCTCTGTGTTTCTAAGTGCCGCAGGGTCTCTGTCCCTGTACATAGTGTTTCTTACCACTCCGCAGTTCTCCTTGAGTGTCCAGAACTAGTCACTGTCAAAGAGAGTCCTTGGCTGTTCCAGGTAATGCCGTTATGCTCTTCCCATGCTAAGAGACTTTGTCATCTTTTCTTTTGACAGTCTGCCAGCACTGAACGCATCCCTCCAGCTCTGGAAAAGCTCATAGGTGAGTTGATGTAGGTAGAGGAGCTCCCTCTTTGTAGCTTCTCTGAAATCTCCCATTTCACTCTTCCCTCCCCATGTCGGCGGGGGGGGGCAAAGGCAGGATTGCAGCTCTGATGTTCTGAAAGTGCTGATTTCACTCCTTTGGTTGGAATGAGAAATGTATCTCCAGAATGCGGGTAGGGCTCCCATACCCTGCCTGTTGGGAGGAAAACTGCCCTGGTATCACCCGTGGGTATGGGGACAATCTGCCCCCAGGCTGGACCTCCCAGTCCCCAATGGGGCGATGGTACTAGAGGGGCTCTAGAGTAAGTGAGTTTCTAGCTGCCCTAATATACAGCAACAATATGGATAGAAGAAGGAGAACAGAGATCCCAGACAGGCATCATTCGTGTTACTTCTTTGTTTCCTTACTTGTCAAGATTTTGGGAGGATGCGGAGGGTTTCATTTTCTTTGGGGGTGGACCATTCACTTCCTCCCTTGAGAGGACAACTTATATTTTCCTAAATTCTTTTGGTACAAAGTCTCACTGCAGCCAAAGCTAATTGAGAAAAGCCTGAAGAAATATATATATATATATTTTTTTCTTTTAGAAATGTCTTTTCAGTGAAATTGAAACTTTCCACAAGAACCTGCCAATTTTTCTGAAATTTCATTTAGGAAAAAAAAGTAGAGTTTCTATTAGAATGGAACAATATTAAAATTATACTTGAAACTTTCAGACTTTTTTTTTTACTTTTACATAGCACGATAATGTTATCAGTGATAATATCCCTTTGCAAAGAAGGTTAAAGCAGAAAGAATTGTTCAGTTTTTTTGATAGATCTGAAAATATATTTTTTTCTTGAGGATTTGTTTAGTAGGAGAGTTCATTTCTTTTCAACTCTGTTCTGATATAGAATGAAAGTGAAGTTGGAAACAGCATAACTCCCTGGAAAGGGCAGCTCCTGTTTCAATTAACTTTGTAATCTGTTGCTTAGAGGAAGGAGAGCTGTCATTTTAACCAGCTCCTCAGTGCTCTGATCACAGGCTATTTTAGCAGCACCTGAATGTGAGGCATAAATACTAACCCCAAAATTCTTGAAGGTAGTAAATAAATAAAGCCAGGGAAATAGTGTAACAGAGAAGGCAGAGAGGAAAATGGAATTTGCCTGGCATGAGAAAAGAAGAGGCTTCTTTTAAAATCTGGGAACCTAGTGCTTGGAAGTGGGTGCTGAATGGAGGGGAAGGACAGGGTGGCATGGGCTCCAAGCACCCACCTGTTTTCACTGTCACTGGCCTCTCTCTCCAAGGGGACACAAGCCCTCTGCAGGAGGCCAGGATTTCCTAGCTATGTTCTGCCTCTCACAGGGTAAGGTCTGCACGGCCAGCAGGATGGTTTGCAGGCTGTCTCAAGTATTTTTTCTGGTCTAGTTGTAAGGAGGGTTGGCACTAAGCAGCTACCTGTCTGCTGTCACAGGGACGTGTGCCCCTGGCAGTGCTGGACTGGAAGAGGGCAGTAAAGCAGGCTCATCTTTGGCAGGACATGAGCAGTCACCTTGGCATGGGCCAGAGATGCCAGTTAATGGGGCAGGACAGCCCTCTCCTGCACCTTGAGGGAGACACCTCTGCTTGAGCTTATTGACTGAGCCATTTTCAATGAAAGCTGTCCTTGCTCTTTTGTTCTTCCCCTTGCTTTTGATTAATCTGGATCCTTTGCTGCAGTGCTTCCTTGCTGTGAAGCCTTTGCTTGAGCACCAATCTGCCTTGCTGCACCAGGCCGTGTTGCCCATGCACCTTGTGCTGCCCTGAAGCTGCCCCATTTCAGCATCACAGAGGGCTCCCTTCTGGTCTCTGGGCTGGCTTCTCCATGGAGCATGTGGTTAAAGTCTTCTCCGTTTTCATGTAGGGGAGAAGAGCGCGTCAGCGAAAAAGGAAGAGAGGAAGGCAGCACACTTAACAGGTATGTGCTGAGGGGTCAGCGAGAAGGGAGAGCGGGACAGGGCAGATGTGGCTGGGGCAGAAGGGCAGCCTGGTTAGAGCTGCGAGGATCCTGCTTCATGTAGGCCTTCTCAGTTTCCTTTGGTAACATGCATGCCCTGAGAGTTCAATGTCACTCCCGCAGCTAAAATCTTCTCCTTCATTTAGGCTTTTCAGTGAGGGCTCTGGTTTTTGGTTTGGTTTTTGTTTTGCCTTGGGGGTTTGCGGGACCAAAAACTTTGAGAAGTGACTGGTGTTGAACAAGCAGCCGGCGAGAGCTCCTACATCTGTGAGGCCTGGGGCAGATGTCCCATGCTGAAAAGAGCATGTGGGGAAGAGGTGACTTGTCTTGACGCTGGCTGTGACTTGAGAAAACCAGAAAATGCCTGTCCTTCTCACACTGCCACTCTGGTTTTGGCTTCCAGGGAACCCGACGCAGCAGGACCTCCCTTTGGAGTGGGAACCGATCTCTGGGCATGCCTTCACCGCCGGCATTCAGTACCGCAATCGGGGCTTGGTGATCAATGAAACTGGCCTCTACTTCGTATACTCCAACGTCCTCTCCCGAGAAAGCACCTGCAACAGCCAGGTGTTAACCCACATTGTCTACAAGAAAAACCCAACCTCCCCGGGCAGCCAGGTGTTGATGGAGGACAAAAAGATCAATTACTGCGCAAATCAGAAGATGTGGGCCCGGAAAAGCTACCTGGGGGCTCTGTTCAAGCTCAGAGAAATGGACAGTCTGCACGTCAATGTTTCCAAAATCACTCTGGTTAATTTTGAGGAATCCAAGACATTTTTTGGCTTATTTAAGCTCTAAACAGTGCTGTCGGAGTCCGGCTGGCAGCCCCGCACACACTAGGACGGGCGCGGGGGGGGGGGCGGAGCGGCAGCCGCCAACCTCCTCGAGTGGGCAAGCTGGAGTCCTGCACCCAGGAAGCCCACCAAGAAACCATGTGTTGGCCTTTGGCGTGAGAGAACAAGTAAGGCTCTCCGGGGTTGGACACCTGGGCTCTGGGAAGCACCTGGTTTGTCCTGGGGCAACCTGAATAAACAGCATGTTTCCCCTCACCCCGAAAAACCCAGGATGTGCCAAAGACCTCCTTGACATTCACTACTTGCTGCAGAAGAGATTTTGCTATGTGAGAAGATGACTGTGCTGGTGTGGCACCTGGAGGGAGACTCTGGGCCAGCGGGTACGCGTGGGGGCCGGCCGGAGGCAGAGAAGGGCCTCTAGGGTGAGCGCGCGGGGGCC